AAAAAAAGGACGAAAAAGGGAAAAAATAGGAATAGGAAAAAGGTGAAAAAGAAAGAAGAAAAAAATCTGGAGAATGAAGGAACAGGTGAGGGGTGGGCGAAGTAGTAGTAGGAGAAGGAGTAGGAGTAAGAGTAGGTGGAAGAGGAGAAAAGGGGTGGCGTAGGGGTCGAAAGAGGGTGGACGAAGGGGAATGGGGAAAACGCATACAGGGCTGTTCAGAGTAACATGGAGCGCATCGCGGGCGCAGCGAGAGAGGATATTGACATTTTCGGTCGAGGGGCGCGCATTCGTAGAAGAAGGGGTAGTGGGTAACGGGGCAGTCGCCTCTTTTACCCGATCCTGCAGTATCCATGACTACGCCGTTCGCGAGGATTTCGCGCGAAATACCGGAAATTTCGGACGCGTAATCTTTTATTTTAAATATACTGTTAGTGAATTGTTAGGTGTTTTAAATCCTGTTAAACGACGTAGGTCGCCAGGCCGACTATCGCTTATTGTTGACAAGTGGTAGTTTGCGAACCATTTGCTTTCGGAAAGGGTGGATACCGTGATCACACCCCGTTACTACGACCGCGGTAGCCCATCCCTTCTTTGATTCCGTCCCTAACCCCTTGTTATCTATTCGTTTTATCTTTCTATCTCTTACTATACCACACATTCTTATCATTTCTCTGTAACTCCTTTTCTTCACCGCTTGGTTTTACCATTTCTCTCTTTTTTTTTTTTTTCTTTACTGTTATTTTACTTCCGCCTTCTTTTCTCATCTAAGATATAACACATTCAACATATTCATCTTCCACTGAGGCGAAGATATCGCCAATGGTGAGTTTCTTCTCGAAACTACAGTAACAATAAGTCGAAATACCTAACGTATACAAATTGGTAGGCAACAAACAAGTGAACACAATAAGATATGTGTATTTATGTGGAAAGAGTAAATATGTAAGAAAAAGAGAGAGAAGGAGAGGGGGTGAGAGAGAGAGAGAGGGAGGGGAGGGGAGGGGAGAGAGAGAGAGAAAGAGTGAGAGAAGGGAGGGAAGAAGAGAGGGTGGAAGGCGAGGGTGGAAGAACCGTAAAAAGAGAAAGAAAAGTATATGATAAAACGTATTCAAAGGATGTTCAGAAAGTAAGGAACGTTAGAAAGGCTTTAAATGAAAGTTCCTCTTGTTGACAATTAAGTAATAAGGGTTGATTAAGTACCACATAGCAAATGAATACATTCTACTTGGTGCAGTGTTTACGTGAATTCTACACTTCGATTAGTGTCCGTTTTTCTTTCGATAATATAATTAATTATAGTGATTTAAGAAATGCTTTTTTTTGGTGATTAATCAAAACTTAATTTGAACCACCACCGTTACTAGTACTTGTTACTTGTTGTTCATATCTACATATGTTAATTTTATCTTAATATCTATTTATCAGATTACACTTACTTAATTGTTTTTATTTCTTTACAGCATATTTTTTTATTCTTGTTTGTCAAAATGATTGCATCGCATCAATGTTCAGAAAGTTGTACAGTTTTTTCAGAACAGAAATTACCATATTTGTAATGATAGATAGATTTTGATAGTGGACAGTATTAAGACGAGCCAACAATTATACAAATAGAAAATAGAAAATATACGTATTGTAGAGTAATACGTATTATATAGGTGAAAAGTCAGTATCGGTTCAGTAACCCTCTCGGTAACGCCACCCCTATTATTATCCGTAACACGTCCACGCAACACTTTGTTCTGCTTCATTGACCTCGCTAATGTTTGTACCATCGTATGTCATTATGTCATCGAAATATTTTCTTTCACTTGTCAAAATAATTTGAGGAAGGAAATATAAATATAGAAGAAATAATAACAAATAACAAACAAATAGAATAAATTTAGATATCAAATATAGTTATTAGACTTGTTTCTAATGTTACGAAGAAACTTAAAAAATATAGAACGAATACGATAAGTAATAACATCTCTCAATGAACAACATGTATAGATTGACCTAGTTTATCTTGTCAAACGTTTAACATGTTCGTATGATTAAAATCTAGGAAAGGATTTCGTAAATAAATATTCTCACAAATGTTTTATTATAAAGTCATAACAAAAATACGAAATAACAAATAATTGGTTTTTTGTTCGAATTGTATAAAACCAAATCAATGAAATTATGAATATAGAATTACAATCAATGAAGAATTGAATCTGTAATCATTACTTTTGTGCTGTATAAAAACGAGAAAACAATCAGTTATTATTTCAAATTTTTGACTATGTAATGAAGCATTTATGACATTTTCTTCTTACTTTTGGTGGTAGAATATTCCGACAATATTTAGCGGAAACTAGAAACTAGAACAGTTTGTGTATTCCTATACTATCAAGAATTTTTTTAGGGTAATCATTAAGAAAAATAATTTAAATAATTATTTGTAAAAAATGAATTTATGAGGCTAATTATCGACACTGGTTTTTGTTTGTTTGTTTCTTTCCTTTCGTCTATTTAAAAAAGAACAGTAAAGATAATAATATAAGTAATTTTTAAATTAATACAGTACGATTATATTTTCAGCGATCATGTCAGGGACAAGCTGATGAACTTTTGAACACTTGCAATGATGTGACAATAAAGATATCTTCTCCTACGTCCTTTCTCATATCGCGGGGTATTGTCCCTGTTATACAGTGCTTCCCAGAATAGAACAAGAGAATGAAATAAAAATTATCATCGGCTAGATCGGTGATTAATGAAAACAGTGCCAAACGTCGATAGACAAGCCAATCAACGTGAATATTCAGCATCTTCATATTTCGAAAAACATCGATAATTAGGGAGCAAGAAAGGAGCGAACAAAAAAAACTAATAACGAGGGGCTGCAAAACGCACAGAACAGAACAGAACAGAACAGAACAGAACAGAACAGAACAGAATAGAACAGGTCGATTCAAATCTCAACGAACATAAGAAAAGCACAAAAAAAAAAAAAAAAAAAACAAGAGAGAAGTAGCGATAGTTGTCGAAAAGAAAGCGAATTGATTATTGAAAGGTGGCGTGGAACAAGGAAGAATCACAGGTGGTATAAGAGAATAACAAGAATGGGCAATAAATTGTCTTGCAGTTGTGCTCCTCTTATCAGAAAGGCTTATCGCTACGAGGATTCACCATGGCAGGCTGGCGTAAGGGGCGGAATGGGCGGCAGCGGAGGTCGGCGGGGTGACACTGGCCACTTGCTCAGGTGCGGAAGCTTAAGAGAAAGGAAGAGGTGCGCATACCATACCATTCAACCATTCAACCATATCCATTCGACTCCATTATCAATTTTTACTTTTTAGGAACGCTACTCTCTCATGAACACACGTTGCCTCCTCTCCCCTAACTCATTTATCCACACACACACATACACACATACACATGCACACCTCAGGGAGAACATATTAATTTGAATTCAATTAATAGCTTTAAAGAAGAGCGTGCATATTATTTATTATAATAATGCTGGCTAAATACGCGTTTAATTAAATTGTTCTACCTGAATTTTTTTCTTCTGTCTCCTCCTTTCGTTTTTACTTCTCATTTGTTTATCTTTTTATTGTTTTCTCTCTAACACACACACACACACACACACAAATATATATATATATATATATGTACCTGTATTTATAATCATCTACGCATTTCACGTTGAATCACTTTCTCTTCCTTTCTCTCTATTTTGACTTCATTTTTTGATATCTTATTTTATCTTGTTCCTGATCTTCTGTCATTTATTTGCCATCGCTCACTATTTCAACTTAAATTCTACTTTATCTTTTTTGAAACTGAAGACACATCATATGGTTTTATACTAGTTTAAAAAAATCTTCGAACTTTCACTTTTGTACAATCTGTCATGTGTTTTGTGAGAAGATATTTATATCCAAATTTTGTTTTCATTGCATTTTCGGAAAATGAAATTTATCTCTGAAGATTTTTTGATCATATGCTGTGATTAGTTACATATCTCTAGCTATGCTTAAAATTATTCTAGTTTTACTTTGGGACCAAATATATAATCCTAGAATTATTTAAAAACTGTAATCATAGCTTTTAGTGATATTTTGCTGATAGCATGTTGTTCACTTTATAATGTGTGCACTTATATGAGATAATTTATTTTGCATTTATTTATTTATCTTACTCGTTAAATCGCGTCTTGCTTATATAACACATTACGGATAACTAGGCCTATTACTTTTAAAATTATTAAATTTATTGCAATTTATCTTCTATTCTGAAAAAGAAAATATGCATAATAACGCTGCATATAATATGACGATAGTAGGATTGCGATACATTGCAAGCTTAATTTGTATGAAACATGCACACTAGTTATTAATTAGAATATTACTGATATGCATGTCTTTTCAAAAATTGATTAAAAGTACAAATATGCATCTTTTATTCTTTAATTTCAGAAGGTAACAAAAAATGAAAAGGAAAAGGGAAACGACAAAAAGATATAACATTTTAAACGTTTCGTATTACACGATGTCTGGTGAGGTATTCAACAAACTTCATTTATGTATTTAGGGGATCGTTGAGAATTAAAAAAAAGTCATGTAAGTCCAATATAGGTCCATTTTGTTGTATTCTATGTATATATACACACTGTACGTGAGTGTGTGCGTGCGTGCGTACATTGTACATACGCACAACTATTAATATACAGCTATGTTTCTGAATTGAAAATAAAGTGTAAAATCTAAAATTATATTCAGTATTCAGTCAATGTTTTATTTATGTTTGATTTGAATATACGTGAACGATACTTCACATTTTTCAGATACAGAATTGTATTGCAAAACGATAATATGTGTACGATATTCGCACATATAGTAATTGAAAACAATATAAACTAAATCCTAAATGAAAACCTAAAACGAGGAAGGAACATATATTGATCGTATATTCAGGAATTATCAATAGAAGAAATATGTGAAATCTTAGATTTCTAAAATTATTTAGAAATTAATATTCAGCCATTTTTTACTTAATATAGATTAAAATTAAATCTCAACAGCTTGAAACTCTCAATAAGACTATAATTTTGTTTTGCTGTGAAAATCTCTATACTGTATGTTAAAATATAAACTTATTTTGAACCTTGAATTATTTGTGACGATTTATTTCATCAGTCGAAATTTACTTTCATAAATCGAAAACCTCTGCCATTGCATTATTATAGTATAAAAGTTGTTTATAAATGACGATATTACTACATAATCACGATATGATTTTTGAAACATAATGAAAAAAAGAAAAAAAATATCTGGTCTTATTTGAGAAACTCAAATTGATCTTGATCTCGCTATGAAAACAGATTATTTTCGAAACTTTTATTATCATGATTTGTTATATACTTCATACTGATAAATTTTATATTTCTTATTGAATTATTATGCTAATTATTATGCTATAGCTATTATGTTATAGTTATTAATATAATATAACTAAAACAAGATAATTAAATGATATGAAAAAATAGTATAATTAAAATATAATTATAGCTATAATAAACTATATAAACGGGGAATATTCTGTATTTTTATAAAGAATCATATCCACATATGTGGAAGAATTAACTCTTACATCCTACATCCAAGCTATATAATGTAAACTGTCATTTATTTTTATAAATAAAAAAAAGATCTTGAGTCACTGCAATTCGAAAGATATTAATCTTTGTACGAAGTCTTTTCAAATTATTTTGTCAAAATTTTCTTATTTGAGAAACTCAATAAGACAAAATATCCATTGCTTGAAGATTTCTTTTTGAAATTCCAGTCTCCGAGATTCGATCATGATAGTCATAGAAAATTAATTATTAAAAAAAATTATGATTGTTATAAGAAATTATAATATATTCTTATTCTTTTGAAAAATATAGAAAGAATTTTGAAAGTGTTTCAAGCTCTGTGTAGAAAATTATCTCACATCACATATTTCGATTGTTTGTATAAACTTTTCTTTGTTTTCTGCTGATTTCGCCTCTGTATCATATCTTTCTTATTTTATTCTTTATCTTATTTTTTCCATCTATCTTTATCTTTATTTTAATTCCTTGTCACTTTATCACCCAATATGTCTTTAAAACTTTTAGAGGGACGGATTTTCCTCGTGATTAAATCTGAAATGCTAATCCGTATTCATAATGAAATAAAATAGACCTATATTTAAAGTGTTATTCAAAACTTGAAGTTTGTTAATAATATTCACCTGACATCTAATATATATATCTATGTATGTATGTATGTATAATTCCATGTGTTCATATGTGAGAAAAAGAAAGGAAGAAAAGAAAGAGAAGACGACAAAGAAAAAGAAAAGAAAGAAGAATAAATAGATAGAGGAAGAAGAGACAGACAGAATAGAAAGCAGTATATTTACAATTATATACTGGCCATAATGCGTTGAACATTTACCGTGTATATTGAATAATATTTAAATGTCTCTTTCGTTTGAATTATTTTTGTCCGTTCCCTTTCAATAGTAGCCTCTTCGACGTACATGTATTTTAATGCAAAAGATGTTCCTACTGTGTAACGTAGAATTCAGCAATAAAAATTTTTAGACTGTGGGCCGAAGTGTTCCACGTAAGTGCCAGCGGGGCAGGAACCGTAAAATGGCAGCAGGTCTCCGAAGATTTAGTTCCTGTAAATATCACATGCATTCAAGATTCGCCAGAATGTATTTTCCATATTACCGCATACAACAGCCAGGTGGACAAAATTTTGGATGTACGATTGGTTCAACCAGGTAAGACTTATCACGTGATATATATTTCGATATGTCACATAAAAAAAAAAGTGCGACATATTAAAACAATTAATATTGTCCTAGGCACACGTATTGGACAAGCATCGGAGTGTTTCGTTTACTGGAAAGATACAATGACGAACGATACGTGGGGTCTGAATTTCACTTCTCCGATAGATGCTAAACAATTCAGAGAATGTTGCGTAAGTTTAATGTAGATATTAGTTTGTAGCATGGTATATAATTCTGGGCGTGTAACTTCGGCTATTTTATCATTATCATGAAAACAGGGATCGGCATTTAATTTCCATGGTATTCGAGTCATTTACAGTCATTAGTTAATTTTTCGTACAGTCACCGTCGTTCAAGATTTCAAGGAAAGCGTCCTCTTCTTACTCGTTGAAGCTTGAACCACCTAACAAACAAAAGATCAAAACGCGGAGAAAGCCTTTGTCGACACCGGCATCACCGAGCAGATCCAGGGAACCTCAATGTACTTGTATGACCCCGGAACAACTTGCCAGGTTTCGAAGCCAAGAAGCTAGATATCGAGGCTTTTGCGGTACGACATATATGTTAAATTGTACAGGTTCTATTCTTCACATATTAATTACATAATATTACGAGCTTCGATTTATCTTCGCCTGTGTCACATAATACAGGTACTTCTACGCTCCCGCGAACTATGGCACGATCAACGGAGGTTGAAATGACACCAGCTCGTGATAAAATAACTGCAGCAACATCCAGTGCGTCCCTATATGATAATGTTAACAATACAAACGTGACACCAGGTAAAACATCGAAAGCAGGTGAATCAAAACAAAAGGAGAAGCAAAATGAAACCTGCCAAACTACGCCGAAAACGGCGAACGTTGGCATTGAAACAGTCACCGTTGGATCACAGGTATAGTCATTCCGTACAATTTTGCCACGTAACATTAAACATTTGATTTAAGTTAATTAATTGACCAAGTTAAGTAGCTACTTGTAAAAACAAGTAAACAAAGTAAGCAAGCAAGTAGAAATAGAAGTAAAATAATAAGTTGCTTGCCGTTTGAATTGAAATTGCAGATTGATAGCCCGGAAGAGAAAGGTGCCGGGATCTCCCCGAAGAAAAGCCAAAAGCAAAATCAAGATTCATCTATTCAACAGAATAATACTGAAATGTTGAAGTCAGAGGGTACACAAGCTGGCGGTACTTTACAAAATAAGTCCTTACGAAAAGAGCAATTGCATCATACAAAGTCTGCTGATTATACAGACTTGGAGATGCAAAATGGTAATATCTTTAACATAGTGAATAACAATCATAGCGGGAAGAAATCAAAAAGCAAGAGCACCGACGACATGAGGATTGAAAACGCGCAGAATGGTGGCATTAGTTTGGATTCAAACACTTTAAAGAGAATGTTGAAACCAATATCGAGTATCGATAGTCCTGTTACGTCTCCAGAGATGACCAGAAAAAGACATAGCCACCATAATTATCATTACCATCCGAGTAACAACAATCAGAAGTACATCATGCAAGAAACTGAGAATGAAAATTGTGCGCATCTATATCGAGCACCATATAACAACAAATTCCAGGCAACCAGAAGCGTGCACGATATGGGACGGCAGTACACTGGTATGATAACAATTTCATTCACTGTCCGATACGAATATTTTTTTATTTTTTATTTAATTTGATTAACTTATAATCTACGGAATAAGATGCAATTTCTTTCTACATGTATATGTGCATACATACATGTACTGTGGAACGTTGTTTACAAAAGTCATTCGTTCGACGATAAATAAAACAATAAACAACAAATTTTTAAGTTATAATAAATATTCGAGATGGCGCGTGATGCGCATTTCATCGATGTAAATTATTTATTAAAAGTTTTAATTGTACCTTTGTTTTGTATTTTGTAATACTCTTCTTATATTATATCGTTGAATGTAACTATACAGACGTATTTGTACAATGTAGTACAAAGCAAACCATATGCACGTACCAATTGACATTGTTAAAAAAAATTGAGAGTTTCTTCTTCTATTAGTATCAATAAAGAACAATTCGTTAAGTTATGTTAGTAACAAATTATTACAAATTAATATAAAAATTATTTCATTTAGTATGCTGAACGGATATGTGAAATATGGAGACATTGAAAGTTGCAAGACATGAAATCCTCGACATTACAAGATTTATTGCCGAATAATCTTATATTAGAAATTGTCGAGATCGCCTAGATATCTTTAAATAAAAGAAAGAGCAATTTAAGAAAAGAGATAGAAATAACTTTAGTAATCTTCGAAAGCTCTCTATTTATAATATGATGGTCCTCTCCGACTTTTGTAAACAAAAATTATATCTCAGCCTAGATATTTATGAAGATAACAAACTAAAATTTAAACAATTTTTTAATTCATTAATTTATTTCTTTTTTTTGAAAAGTATTTTGTTATTCGTTGTTATTAATGTTTGAAATTTCAATTCTATCGACTGTTTGCATGTTATTCATTTACATGTATAGTTATCAGAAAAAACGGATATCTGTCTATCACATTTAATGGTATTATGTATAATCTATATTTAAATACTTTATTTATATATATTTTATCAAAGGATCAAAGTTTGTGAATAATTATTCATTAGTACAAGTCATCAATCACAATTCTTACATTATTGTGAGATATATAAGATTATGGTTACAGTATTTTGAGACGAATAAAGTATTACCTGAAAATTGAAGTGTATGCACAACAATCTAAATACATAGTTACTTTAATAAATTTGAATTCAGAATTTAATAAATTTGAAATTAGAACAATATGTAACTATACCCTAAAGAAGAAAAAAAGGAAAAAGCGAAACAGATGTTTGTATGTGAGCATCCCTGTTTCGAAAACTTTGTGCTATGAAAAATTATTGCTGTAACATTTTTTATTGATCACAGTACGTACACACGCATACAGTATGCGTATAGATGCATAAATTATAAACCTACAGGCGCATATACGTTTATTAAATCTCGATAAATTAATGAAACATAGACGCCACTTTCGTGATTGTTTTTTTAAACGTGCTACTAGCTTTCAGTTGGTATCATATTGTTTTAAGCGCTAAAAAAAAAAAAAAAAAAAAAATTGGCATTATACATTCTATAAATAAACAAAGGAGTGCGTAGTTGATTAACAAGGATGCATGGCGCATGTCAAATTATACCATCGAATAAACGTGAACGCAAGGAAGTAACGATTCTTTACGTTCGACAGCTGAATATAATCATCACGTCGTGTCGAATTCCTGCATGAAGCACCTGTTTGTCGTAGGCGGCAGAGCCAGGACCTATTTAGATTCGGAACGTAATCGATGTACAGGTGATATGTCGCCGCCATCGGATAATGTCATCTTCGATAATCAGTGTTACGCGACCACGCCAAGTTCGTCAAATGGGAATTCAGATATGGAACAACCCACTCACTGTAGTTCACGTCGCTGCAATGGTGGTCAACCGTATCAACAACAAAACATGCAATCTGTCTCAACACCTGGTAGCCCAACTAGTAGACTTCTTCTCGAATATGAGATGCACCTGAGGAACACGTTGGCCAAGGGTATGGACGCCGAGAGCTACAGTTTACGCACCTTTGAGGCATTGCTAACGCAAAGCATGGAAGATTTAGGTAAGTAAATGAATTTATTACGTACACACGTATTTCTTTCTCTTCATTCTTGCTCCCTTTCCTTTCCTTTCCTTTCCTTTTCTATACTAAACCGAGACATCAATGTTGCAGAATTCGCGAAAAATATACCGTTGAACATTCAACGAACACCTCACGTTTCACGAAGACGTAAGTTCTATTAAGCATCTTGTTTATTTCTTTGAAAGTCTTCGTACACATGCACTCTAAACTCTACTACTACATCTCGCTTATTAACTTGTCAATTCCATCGTAATACTTATTGGTAATAAAAAGATACTGAATGAAAAGTTGCGAGCTGCTTTCGGCAATTGATTCATTTCATTCACGAAAGAATTTTACAAGCAATATATTTAACATGTTTTCTGATATTTTTGCAGGTTCTGGTTCCAATAAATCGTCAACATTGCCACTGTCGTATCGTTATTCCAATGAGAGACAAAACAGTAAAGACAGGGATGGTTATTATAGCGATCGTAATGAAATAATTAGAGAGAAAAGAGATAGAGAGATTGATCGTGATCGTGGATATCTCAGTGATTACAATTCTAGGTAAATTTTCATTTTTGTTTATTAAATTATAGAACGCGTAGAGAGAATATTCTAGAAAATATTTCATTACTTAATATTTATCTTACGTTTGTTACCTTTGTTGCTTCCGTTAGAAAACAAATTTTATTAATTCAGTTTAATTGATGTATCAGATAAAGAACACTTTCAGGCAAACAGCCTTTCTTGATCGTATTCAGAGTAAATGAATAACGAGCCATGGTAATGTTTTATAAATTTTTTAAGATGTACCAGTTGCGTTGGAGAGTCCGCACGCGCTCAATGGTTTCGACATTCTGACGGATGGCAGTCTGGTAGTTCGACACTTGGCTCTGGTGCTTCTAGTTCTATGAATCCAAGTTACACTGGACACAAACGGGATTCTCCCTGGGATTCTTTACCATCATTAAGACACGAGGGCAGTCTTAATGACAGTGGATACAAATCAAATCGAACTGATTCCTTAGAACAAAGGTGAATAATTTATACAAAAATTTACAAAATATCCAACTAATCATAAAATTGGAAATATATGTTTCCAAATAAAGGACACAGTCTACACAATATATACACATTTTAAGATTGTGTTCATTTTGTTCATAATGCATTTACATTTGTTTGCTTCGCATAGCATATTAGATTTTTGTAGATGAAGTGGCTAAGTTCTTGATAAAACTTTCAACATTCATAAATTTCCTAGATATAATATTAATGGAATCATCAAATTTTTCATCGAAAAATCAAGTTTAACACATTTTGACTGTTATATGTAAAACAATAACAATGTTAAAAACTATTATAAATCTATAGTCAATCATTGCTGATAGCTGTTTGATATTTTTTAATAATATTTCATTTCTATTTGAACTTTGTTTTTCGAAAAGACAAAAAAACTTGCATTAGCACTGCGAATGAAGCCTCTACTTTGACTAAGTCAAAATTTCAAGTTTTATGAAAAATGGAACTCGTGAATCCATCTTCATTCGTGTTCCATTTTGATACGTATTTTTCTATATAGTTACAAATCATTGAATCAGCCATTTCATACAACAATTTAATACACGTTACTTGTACCATTTGATATACATTTATACCACTTGTTTATTCATTTATATTTTCTATTATCCTACCAATCGAATAACAAACCCCTAAGATATAACACTTTGTGTGTATGTGTACTTTTTCGAATTTTCCAGAGGCACGTTTGATAGACAAGACAGTGTAAGATCGGATTACATGTCTGACCGGGATGGCAGATATGGAATTGTTCAACAAGCTTCTCTGGAGAGTACAGACTCAAGAATTTGCTACTTGACGTCCTCGGAGGTGAGTTCCTTGAGTACTTCTTGACCTTATCAATCTGTTATATCAATACTCCACTTCAGCAATTCACTATTGCTTTACCTAACCGAACTTTGTACGGTAGAACTATAAACGTAGATACTTGGCTAATAATAGACACGATAGAATACAGATTGTTACATTGAATTGAATCTTTTGCAATCAGAAAAATTGATTTATTAAAAATTCATGGCAACGCAACGATACATTAGATTGTTATATATTTGCAAAAAAGGTAAATATATCAATAACTATAAATTACATAATTGAAACAAATGAAATTTTCGAATTAGACAATACTTATTAATCATTCGTTTTTATCTTAGTTTACGTGTATTTCATTTATATACATTTTACCTGTGGGTAATAAATGATCATGTTTTCTTTTTCTTCTTGGTTACAAAATAAATATCATTTAGTCGTAAAATAAATATAATTTTTACGTGCTATATACCTATGTGATTAGTGGAAAAAAAGTCATGTATATTAAAAAAACACGTATCTATTTGTTGAACGTCGATAATCTACTGACCCTGCTTACACATATCTTACACAAGTCACCTTTCAGCCTATTTCTATGCATCATTACTTGAACGTTGGTGGTACTTAGTGTCGCTTCTGTTTTCTCTTTATTATCTCGTACTATATAATATAACACAATATAATACTATGTAGGGAAAAGGAGAGGTTTATTGATGTTATACTTATAAAAAAAATATTGCATATAATGCAACGTCTGTTCATCCAAATATATATATTGAAATAAACTTGCAAAACTGAACGAGAAAAATTAGAAGAAAAAATTTTCTTGTATAACATAACACGATGTAATACTATATAGGGAAAGGGAGAGGTTTATCTAGGAAAGAATATTGCATATAATGCCAACGTCTGTTCATCCAAATATATATTGAAATAAACTTGCAAACTTGAAAACGGGAAAATTATAAGAAAAAAATTGAAAATTGTTGAAAATTTTGTTTCGTGTATGAGACAAGATGGAACAGCAATTGTTTGCATGTATCATATGTATATCTTCGTCTTCATCTTCTTCTGTAGCATACGCATAGTGAATTTAACCTTTGCATTCTAATTATTTAATCTTATTTATTATTCTCTATTCCAATGCAGTCTTTGGTACATTAAAAGACGTGACTGCTTTATGATAACTCGTATTTATTTGAAATAAAGTAAAAATTTTACTAATTCCAAAGACCTTGAAATACGTCAAAACCATTTTAAACAAACTTCCTCCTATACATGTTACTGCCGCGACATTTTTAGTCTTAATTTCTGAAATATTTGTAAAAAATTTTGGCGAAATTTCTGAAAACATGTCAAATCCGATTTAATTGATATTTTTAAGCATAATTTCATTTTGCATAAAAATAGTATTACGAATAGGGATGAATCTTCTAACCGACTGTTTCATGATGTAGTCTAACTCAAACATTTTAAAAGATGATCGACTTTTTCTAAAGAGAAGTATTACTAAATTGTCGAGAGCGTTCCTATCATTTTGAAATAATTCTTAATGAATAAGTGACCTGTGGGATGAAAGAAATTCAAGTATATATTTGCGAATATCTTGATACAAATCCAAAAGGTCATTGAAATCAGTGAAATTTGTATTTCAAAACATATGAAACATTTTCTCATAAATGTCCTGGCAACATGAATAGAGAAAAAGTTGAAGTAGAATGACGAAAAATTGATAAGATCACCTATATTCCAAATAATAGTCATTTTTTTGCATAATTGTTTTCACAGTTTTCCGCTTTAATTCCTGATTGACATCAACTTTGTGTCTTTGTTTTTCTCTTGTCCGAGTCATTTTATCTAAAAACTTAGAAATTTATGAAAGTCCATGTTAATATCTTTATTTATTTGCAAATACTTAATACGAGTAAATGAATAAGTAACACAAAAAATGGTCACAATATTCAGTATAATTGAGAATTGTTTCTTACTTGTTGGTATTTAAAATCTAATGGAATAAAATTATAATCGTAAGGATGAAAAATATGACTAGCAATCACATAAGGACGCAATAAATTGCTATTGGTAATGTATGACATGACGCAGAATTTTTCTTGTTTGAAAGTACAGCAATTAGCTAAATAGGAAATAAATTGTCCTACGATCCTGCCTCCCTTCATCTACGAACTTAAATTTTATAAGATAGAAAGAAAATATTCCCAAAGAGGAACGAATTACGTATTCTGTTGAACATCTATTTGAGTTGTATATGTATGCATGATACTACAATATGTAATTTGTTGTGAAGACATTTTGTGTTTGCAGATGAACATGTGTAAACAATTTTGCCGTGACGATTTCTTCATTTTATCGTACAATCATCCTGAATGTACGCCTAAAAAAAACTCATATAAATATAGTTAATATATTCTTCTACATATGTAAATATATAATGATACATCGCATAATGCATAACTCGATTTTAAATAACTCGACTGCTTACTATACGAAAAAGTTCCAAACAACGGTTGCATGGTTTTCCAACAGACATGCGGTATTATAATCGTTTCGTTACCATTTTATATTTTTATCGAGATATGAAGCTTGCCTTTATATTATTTTAATGGAACATTTCTTCTTAGATTCGAATGAAGCATCGAATTCTGTGCAAAGAAGTATTAAAGTCTAGATTAATATTGAGATATTATCAAAATAAGTATTTCAAGTGATGTTACAATTGATGCATTTATTTAATCGTATTATAAATGAACAATGAACTTTTTCAAACGTTAATTATTATTACGTGTGTATTAGCAATACGTTCTCGCTATATCTATCGACTTATGTTGATGGCTCATGATAAACTTTATTTTAGTATTTTAATAGTATTTTTTAATAGTATTTTTTGAAACTTTATTTTAGTATTTTAATAGTATTTTTTAATACTACCCAAAAGAAACAAACAAGTAGAATATAACATTTCTTTTGTCTTGATATGATATTTTGGTTTTTGCAACATTTTTACCGTACGCGATCATAAACGATTATTATATTGTTTCATTATCATTATTATTATTAATATATACAATACTTTCTACAATATTATTTTTACTTTAAACAACTGAACTCAGATATTAAAATAACTCATGTTAATGATGTTGTCATAGTGTGTCAACAAGAATTGTGTTATAAACACAATGTCATCATAAATATAGTTGTATCACAGTTACATTAACTAATCGTATTTCCCAACGCAAGATAATTAATTTGAGAATACTTCTTTTACGTAAAAATCAATATTTCATTTGACTCCAAGAAAAAATGTTAGGCATCACATTAAAAAAAAAAAAAATTGAAACTTACTTTATACCTGCCGGAAAATCATGTAACTTTTGTTTGAAACATCTTTTCGTAGAGCGAGTAACTTACGAATTATGCGAAGTCATAATATTACGAGATTCATTCTGTATATGTAATAGAAATCGATATTAGATTGAAAAATTTGGAAGAGCAAAGAAATAGAAAGGAAGAACGAAACAAATGAACAAATCATTATGCAAATAATTTTTGTCGAATTTGTAAATAACAATAATCAACTCAAATATACGTTCCACTTTATTTCGGGTTCGTAACTTTCGTAATGGCTAAATCCTTATTTTCTAGAAACTTCTATCGCAGGATACTGTAAATACGTACATAGATATACATACATACGTATATATACTACTAAAAATTGATGATGCAAACCTCTCGAAATAAAACTACAATTTCTTTAATGATATAATACGATACTGGTATGTTACATTTGTTACACTTTTCCTTTGAGCGTAAGAGAGAAAGCATCTTCCACTTTCGGGAAAGTGTTTCGTTCTTTCGATTAAAAGTCCAAGAAGAAGGAAGAGACGATTGCTAGAAAGAAAGAGCAATAACAATGATAATGGCAATAATAGCAGAATTATCAGCAACAGTAGCAGCAACAGTGGCAATCAGTACCGATATTTACAACTTATTCCTCTCTGCCGCTTCTCCCATCCCGTTTTTTTTTTTTCCCCTGCTGTCACCTATTTTCTTATTCTAACTCTCGATACTTCCGACCTCTTCCATTCCCTCGCCAACCTTTCCATTCCCCTACTCTTCTTATTACCCCTACTACCCCCAAGTAACCAACTACCCTGACTACCCCGACCCCCATTCGGCTGCACAGAACGAGTGAGCGAGCGAGGTATTGATTCCCCTCGCGGTAGCAGCTCTACTTCTCTGTTCTCCAGCGCCCCAGTCGGAAGCAACTCACGTTCGTGGCTGCGGCCCACTAATTCACTGCTTGTTCGCGGAAAAGTCAAGAAAGCAAGCTCGATCATTATCGAGTTATTCAGCGAATAAGCCCTGAGGAATTAGGATCCATTTTCTCTGGTCATCAAAAGTGGTCATCATTCGTTTATTCGAGCTGGCAATTAGCGAACGGTTCTCCAGAATTTGCAGGACCAATACCGTCTGGAATCTATCCAGCGGAATATATCACGCGTATTTCACAATGAATGGAGATACTAGTGACACGTCTGAAGATTGGTTGTACATGCAACGTTCGGTTATCACACATTGTTGAATAGGAAAAGAACGTTACAGTTGTTTTGCACAAGATTTTTCAATTCGTAGTGAACAAGTAAAATTATCCTTAACAGAAAAGTATACGAATCCGCAGCCTCCTGCGTAGTTGCACCTGCACAGTTGCACAGCTACATCGAACAACCTGAACTAGAGAAACGGACAAGGATATTAATATAAAAATTCTTCTTTTCGAAGAGATATTACATTTACAGTATTTTTTCAACACGTGCAGGTTCACGTGGTATGGTATCGACAAAGAATAACTACGCATCAAATTCTTTAACTAGTTTTAGAAAATAATCGCGTGAACATTCGAATGTTTAAGTACCTACTTGACACATTTATTATTTTCACTAACCTGCTCGATTTCGCTTAGCAACGACTCCAGCATATTTAGATTATATGAATTAGAGGAGCTAGGGAGTAATCAGATAACAAATCCATATTCAGTAAATGTTGTTTTGAAGTACAAACGGCGAAAAGAGGAGAAGAGGAGGAGAGGAGAAGAGGAAAGAAGAAGAGGAGAGGAGAAGACGAAAAAAAGAGGTAAACGAGAATTAGATATATGGAAAAATATAAAAATATAAAATGTGTGTGAAATACACGAAGAGGGGAAATAGGAGGATAGAGGATCTATACGGATAAAGGGAGAGAGGAAGAATAATTTTAGAAAAGAATACAGATATTTCTTCAGTTGAGCAGTTATAAATGGATAGATCATAAGGAAGGGTGGAAGGCAAGATACGAGATTTGCTGTTCGAATAGAATATGTATAATACATGTATAACGCTATAGAGAACATGATATTGAGAAACGTAACATATTTTTATACAGAGAGTTCATTTCTATACGTATATTGCAAAAGTATTCTATATATCTACCTTTGAAACCTACCCAATTACTAAGAAAGAGTAACCATTTTTGGAGTAATCATTTCGATTTGTTGATCAATCCCGAGATTTGATTATCACTATTAAAAGATCGATGAAAGTATTAAGAGAAAGGAAGATTTTATTCAAACGAGAGAGGAAGAGAGAGAAAGAGAGTGAAAGAGAGAGAGGGAGAGAAAGAGGGAAAATTTGCTTCCGCCACGTATTTTGGAAAAAAGGGAAATCAAATTGAAGGAATAAAAATCGTCCTTCTTGAGAGTATTATGCTTAGAAACAATATGTACAGTACAAGATTACAATATATTCGCAAAATTGTCGATTTTCTAAAACAGATACGTTCTGGCTTTACAAAACAGAAGATCACATAAAAGAAACCTTAGTATTAATCTGTATAGTGCAAAAACAGTTTGCCTTAAATAGAGATTACAAATGTACAAATAATTGGAAGATTTTCATGTTCTACGACGGTAATATTATTACGATATTTGCTCCTATGTAACGAAAACACCTATGTAGCAAGAAAAGTTTGCTTCTGTTGTAGCAAATATTGAAAAAAAAAAAAAAAAAAAAGATATATCAAATATATTGTTATAACGTGTGAGATATTGAAATCGATAAAGGAATTTGTCTTTTATTTTTTGTCATTTCTCTTGTTTCTTTTTTCTCTACATGGCTACGCGGACTCGTGGACTAATGAATAAAAAGCTTGGTCACAGCGACAATCTAATGAGAAACCACAGACAATGCACAATGCACGACGACTGTGCCTGTTTTATTTCTTATGCACGTTCATAATTAACATTTTACATCTATTCAGGAAGCTGTTCGAACCATACGCTGTCACATTCACGAAGAAGATTGTTCAAATTTTCGACCGAAGAGAAGAATTTATGCCTTGAACACTTTACTTTAAGCTGGCGAAGATAACCAGCTTTTGCAACGTTGTTAATGCAACACTTGCCAATTTAATTACAATTCTTTCATGTTTCCTATCGTTAAGAGGGAAACACGGCATGAAATGTTGTAGCGCGAGATGCTTTTAGAACACGTTCGAATTTTGAATCAAATTAATGAAGAAACTGAACGGATCTTCCGAATACAAAGTTGAATTGGCAGATCGTCGATTCTTCCGCCGTCCAAACGACAATAAAGGCATTGATGGAAAGGGAGAAAGGAGAAATATGAAATGAAGGTCAAAGCGAGTTACGATGATTCCGAATGAATTCAAGTTGAAATTACAAGATTACTGTTAACTGTTAACTGTTTAGAAAAAAAAAAAGTCAATTCGTTTTCTCTCGTTGACTCTTCCATCTGAACAAAAAGATCGTTTTATTTGATTCAGCGAAAGCATCAGCATAACGAAGTATATAATGGTAGAACCGAAATGGTCAATCAAATGCATGAATAGTACGTTGAATCTGTTGAATCCGAGCAGCAGTTACACAGACTTGAGGACACTTCACAAGAAACATTGCAAGAAATATTTCTGCCTTTGCAAAAGGCACACCATCAGTGTGATATGTATCAATGAAACGAGGAAATTGTATTGGTTTAATTGCAAGAACGTTCGGGAAAAGGTCAACTTTGGTCTCGGTGACGGTTACTACTACAAGCTGCTCAGGATTATTAACAGTGCTTTGAACACTTGGGCGCAGCATTACATCGACGGTCTCAGCATTACATCGACCGTCTCAGCTCGTAAAGAGATCATGTTCAAGATAAACGGCACCGCCAAGAAAAATATGAAGCTACTGAAGGAAGGTTGCTACTGTCATTACCATCCGCACATGACAGCGGATGCTTGCAACGCCGACTTTCTAAAAAAAGTCGTAAGTTTTTGGGCTGGCGAGGGCCTTAGGGGAATACGCGAAAAGCTTCGCGGTATGACAAATTATGCTAAAAAGGTAGAGACACGACAGTTGACGCGTTCTTATTAGTTCTTTTCTCAGTTATACTTTTCTTTTCATTAG